TGTAAGATAAGGGCAACTGACGTAGGCAAAGCTAATTTTTAAAACTTAAGTAGAGCATGCTTTTGTATGTTGACATGTTAGGCTATAATCTGGAATACTGTTTAGTTTTACTTCCTAAAAATGTAAATTAGTGTCTCAGTTCTGATCAACAAACACAAAACAGCCTACCGGTAATGTGACACATATTGTAACTTACTGTATGGCCAAAATGATTTGGCATTAAGAGGTGAATAAATGGAAAATTACATACTGTAGAACGTGACTCATTATGGTCAGAACATACCAGTGAGATAATGAGAGGAGAAGGAAAAAAAAGTGTGAGTCAGGAATTATATCTGTGTAATTCAGATCTTTTGATAGTATTGTAATTATGGCATTTGGACATTACGCTGTGCAAGTAACTGAACCTGGTGGCTGTCCCTGTCAGGCATTCCTTTCACAGCTAGCAAAACTGAAGAACTGGTGTTCAAGTTAATTTTCCTGCTTTTTGCACTTAGTGGCTGAATAGGGAGTATAGACTGAACGGACATGGCTCACAGTTCCCAATTCATCATCCTGACTCCAGTACAGAATCAAGATATTCTGATAACATGGTGTTTGCTTCTGTGTTTCATTTCCTGTACTATGTTTGCTGATGTGCGTGGTCAGTGGTTTGCTTAATTGAGACAAGACACAAGGCAAACTTTCAGATAAAAATTCAGATGAGAAATTTTGTAGATAACTATTACAATTGTGAAGCAGATATTCTGGTGCATGAAGGTTTGTCCTAACTGTATCATTGTTCTAATTAAAGTATGTAACTTCCACCTACCAGCCTTGCTTCTCTGAACCTTAAATCATTTCAGTTGTAACAAAATACCTCTGTCTGAGGTTTATGTTTGTAAATTCAGCATTGCTACTGGAATATGCTGCATCTCCACAGGAGGGCTCTGCTGGCATAGCCATACTGGCACGCACTGTGGGATGCTCGTGGGATTTTTCGCCTGCTCAGTTTCTTTTCCATTTCCTATAGAAAAGTGGATGTTGGAGCTCTTGAGCGCTGCCCTGTGTGTGGTGCAGCAGAGCATTGAAAAGGTGGCTGCTGAGGAACTCCAAACTAGAAAGACAGAAGTGCTCCTCCTGTGCCAGGCCTGCATCTCCTTCCCCTAACATGAAGCAAGATTTGGGTGCTGCTGTTAAAAACAAGTGCATCAAAAAAAAAAAGGCTTTAATTTCGTTTTTATGAGCATACCTTGCAAGCAGTACTTTTTAATAAATGTTTAGAGATTGCCAGTTACCTGTTGTTAATGGGTTGAACTGGGGGAAAAAAAGTATATTCCATGGCAGTGGTACAGTGGAACAGTGAGTTCTGAGAGCTATAATGAAGTTGAAGCTCTGTGGCTATATGGAAATAGAACAGAAAAGATAGAAATGTAAGAGAAGAACTTAAAAAACAGAAAGCATACTAAGCTTGTCAAAAAATGGTATTTTTTTGTTTGGTTTGTTTTTGTGGGGGCAGGAGGCGGTTTGAGGGGTGTTTTTGTTTTGTTTTGAATATTAAATCAAGCTGCCGAAGCCCAAGTGGCAAGAATCGGACTGTTCTCCAGTGTATGCAGTGGAATTAAAATACCTGGAAACCATTAGTACCAATATGTGCTCTTTATATTGCTGAGACCTTATCCTACCCAACAGCAGTGATCATGGCACTGGTGGAGAGAAAAGCAGGAGACGTTTGCTGCGTTAAGAAACTTAAGAACCTTGTCTGCCTTCCTCAGATGCTGAAGTTTCCTTTCTCCCAAGGGACACTGAAGCGATGGCAACATCAAGACATGGTTGCAGCTACTGTGACAAGCAGGAAATCCTGCCTAGTCTCTCAAAACCATGGAATATAGATCCATAGACCTCCTGCAAAACTTCTGAGTGTTTATATTTACATACTTTTATTGTGACTTTAAAATGTAAAGCATCAGAAAGAAGGTCAGACGAGAGTAACCTTGATCAGGTTGTGGTTATGCAAATCATGCTGCTATCTAGCTGGCTTCTTATGCAGCTAAAATACAACTTAGTGGGGTTTTTTTGTTGTTTAAGTTATTTGGCTAGGATGGAAACATTCCCAAGGTTGGCTTCTAACCCACGCAGAATCACAGAATACAGCATCAACTGTCTGAATCATGAATCGGAGGAAAGTAATTCTTCTATTTAAATTAAACAGACTCTGACATGTAAAAACACACAAATAGGTTTTAGGGCATGAAATCAAGGCATTAAGTAATTCTTTTTCTGCTTTAGTTTTTTTTGGCCTGGAGAAGCATAAAACAAATGTTACAAATACTTTTTGACAAACAATATGTTTCAATGCCTTAGTCTTGCCTCTTCTGCATTATACTTGTCACATGAACTGTAGCAAATGAAGCTGGAGATGATAGTTTTCCTACATCTGAGTCATTGATACAACATTTTTTTTAGGAAGTGTGCAGTCTTTGGGCTATAAATAATTTTCCCTTAGCATTTTCAAATTTATGATCACACTGTGAGTATGTTGCATGTCAGGCTGTTTTGTGAGACCTTTAACTGCATATGTCTTTTGAGAAGTGGCGCTATCTCTTAAATAAATGTTGTGTCTCAAGTTTGAAGTGCATCATCATTAAGTGAAATGATACTGGGTATGGTTCATATTTGAGACAACATTGAATACCAAGCTTGCTGAAAAAATGTCTTCAGTAATAGCATTAGGATGCGTAGAAATGGAGACTATAACACGTTAGGTAAATGTAGCCTTATACTCGTAGCACATCTTTTCTGCTAATTTGTAAACAAAGAGTGACTCCAGTAAGAACTATTCTGAACTCGTCTGGAAGAACTCATTTTGCAGAGGACAAGATTCTTACTGTTTCTCAATAGCTAGCAGGCTGTGTTCGGCGCTTTTAAAAAAATCTGCGATCATCTGACAGTTACAGATTTTGTGATAAGTGAAACTTTGTAAAACTACGTATTGGTTTCCAGCTTCACTTATTTCTATAATTTTAAAGCATTTACCAAAACTTGACAGAAGTATTTTTCTCTTTGATATAGACAACATTGCTAAATCGTCTGGAACGAATATTTGAAGTCTGTTTTCCTTCCATGCCTGTTCTTGAAGTTGAAGAAGAAATAAATTCCTTGAATCGTTTGTTGGAAGCAGGTGAAAAGCAGATGACAACTGAGGAGACCTCAGGAAATACTGGGTAAGAAGCCACAATGCAACAAACTTAGAATGAAGTAGAAACATGTCTTCTTTGGGAACTTAAAACATATAGCAGTAAGTAATACAAATTAAATTGTTTGCTTCAAGCGTTTTGAAAAACTATCGAGTGAAAATTAGCGATCTAGCAGAATGCTTATTTTCAGTGACTTCACATACCAAAAGTATTTCACTTAGCATATCATCTTGGTCAGCAGCATATCATCTTCTTTTAAGTGATGTCTTTGAGTTAATTGGAATGGGTCTTATTAGTTACACTTGATATAAATTGCTGTATTTATTCTTGTGATGATGAAGTCTTAGCAGGCCTTGTCCTGTCTGCTGTGGACATCATTTTCCAGCAGTAATTCTGAACTATAATTGTTCTAAGAACACTGTGCAATTTTAGTTCCCCTAGGTGTTGTGCTTGGGCATAAGTTTAATTGGAACGTATAAGTCACTTGCTTTAATAACTAGAATAAATACTCAAGGCTGCAAAGCTGTTATTCTCATTGACAACTTGATTTATGATGGCTTGTGTAGGGGACTGATGGACGTGTGGACAGAGCTGCAGGATATCCACGATGCATATGGACTGAGATACCAGTGGGGTGGCTCTCACAGCAACAAAAAGCTTTTGTGCTCCTTGGGAATCGACACAAGAAATATTGTGAGTCTGTCAGTAAAACTTGGTTTCTAAATAAGGGGGCTGCTTTAGATGTAGAATCAAGTGGAAGTCTTTTTGTATGAATACTTGTCTCTTAATTGCATAGATGCATAGACCATATGATAATTTAATATTTTATAAGCCCTGTTAATATTAGAAGTTGCATTAGTTTTTAACCTTTGTGTTACATTTAACATAGTATTTATTCTCTGATATTGTTCTTATACAAGTTGTATAACATTGAAAACATATCGCTGACAGAAACTCTTAAGTAATTTTTTTGTTATTGTTTTATCAGCTCTTTACAGGCAACAAGAAACAGCCTGTTATAGTACCCATGTATGCAGCAGGACTGGTAAGCTTTTTTGGTGTTATTTTTTGTTATAGTTCCAACAACATTATATAATTAAATATATAAAATGACATTAAGCACCAAGTATGCTGAAAGATATTTTTGTAAGTAAGGTTATGGATAAGCATCATTCAAAAGGCTAGAAAAGAATCGTCAAATACACTGTTTTCATTATACGTGCAAGCAGATACTTTTTAATGCAAAAAGTATCGATTTACTTATCTGGCAGAACAGATTATTTATCTAATAAGGTGCCCTAGATAGTCCAAACTCAGTTGAGACATTTTCTAAACAAGAAAAGAATGCAGTAATGTATTGTTGAATTTTGACCATGAAATGTAAGGTATAAATGTAGAAAATGTCTGCTAAAACTTCACACAAGAAACTAGGTGGTTAAATAGTTGTCAAAAATGACAAAGGAACGTTAAAATTAGTCCAAACATCAGTTCACATCAGCAGTTGTGGGAAGCCCTGGCACTAAGATCAGGTGCTTCGAAGAAAGGTTAAGAACTGCTAGATAGTTACAGTATTCCATGAAATGTGTGTAGAAACTTTTCTTAGCACTCTTGAGCATTACTCTTTGTGCAACTGTTTCTCTGACAAACTGTTGATTAATTACTTGATTGCATCTCAATATTCTTAGATCAAGAGGTGCATGGTAATGCTCTGCAGTGTGTTACTGACATATTTATAAAGGACTCACACGTATATATATATTAAACTATTTATGCATACAAGAAGCATTGTATAGCCAGTATTGTTGTGTTGTCTGAAGTGCTAGATAAAAATAGCGAGCATAATTTACTGTAATTACTGTACATTGAAGGAAACTCAAGCAACCTGGTGCAGTAAGACCAACTGTTTTCACTTAAGACCATATTCTGTAATTCCTGTTTGGCATTTCAGACTCTGTGCAATGTCTGTAGTAATAAAAACGTTCAGAAGATAAGTTTTGCCGGTTTTGCTAGTCTGAGCAGAGCAAACGTTCTTTTTTCTGGAAACCTATATGTATATATATATACACACACACACAGATAGGCTTTTGTATGGTCATTCACAAAATGAATATAAAAGGATTAAAGTTTTCTATGTGTTAAGCAAATTTAATCTGTAGGATAATTTTGTAGAGTGACTTCTACAGTCAGTCTCTAGAGCTGTTCTCTTCTGATTCATCAAGGTCAGCTCATGCACTTGTTTGGATGTAGGCATGGTATTCTGATACAGAGAGGTAAAACATTTCATAGCAATTGCGATTTTGTTCCTGTGACACATTTTTGAGCAAGACTGTGTTTGTACGCAACATGTGCAGGTTTTTTTTGCAACAAGTTGTTGTTGCTGATTAATTATCTCCCTAAATTTTATGTATACTTATGCACACAATAAGCTGGATAGAGATGATGGTAGGAGTAAAGTGGCTTTCTGTTGCCACACTGCTTCATGTGTTTCTCCGCTGTTGAAAAGAATTGATTTAACTGGTGGTTAAATTCCGAGCTTCCCATACATGGTGTAAAAACATTTGAGGGGCAGCTGATTTTGGTGATTGGCTTCCTGAAATTATTTTAAGATACACTAGTTGCAAATCCACTGGTTTTATTTGAGGGTTTATTTGCTCATACCTCTTTGTTCTGAGATGGTTTGCATGTCTCGGTGCATATTTTGGTCTTTCTGTAAATCTCTTTCTCACCCTCAATTTTATTCAGGAACACGAGAGACTTCAGAATTTTTTCATAGCACTGTTTAGCTTTGAACAGTTTGTTTAAAAATGTGGTTTTAATTATTTTCTTAATGCTTTTTAATGCATTTATTTCCACATCAATAATTATTTTTCTCGGTATAACTGCAACCTGATAATTTGACTTGTTTCTTCTGAATTATGTAATTGTTGAAATGGAATAAATGCACTTGCCCCTTCCTGAGGGGCCGTTTGATATTTCTGGGATAGTCTACACATAATTGGGAGGAGAAGACATCACATTATCAAGTAACTGTTTCCTCCAGCTTAAATTATATTCTTGAAAGTTGAAAGTGAGCTCTAGCTAAGCACTTGGCTTTCTGTTATTGGATCTGAAATGTTTCTTTGGCCTAAGGAACCAGGATAATTCTCTCCCCTGCCCCATCTCCTTCCGAGTCCTCCTCAATGACAGTGTCCAGAGATGTATGGTTACCCCTAAGCCACTAGTTGAGGATAGTACTACCTAGTAATGTGTTGTCTATTTTTATTGTGGCTGTAGTTCTGGGAATACATATGAGTGTGTGTGTGTGTCTGTGTATGATTTTTTTATTATTTATTTATTTGTTTCTTTATTTAGGGTATGTTAGAGCCTACCAAGGAACCTTTGAAACCAATATCTGCAGCAGAAAAAATAGCTTCAATAGGACAGACACCTCCTGTATCGCCAGAGATGAACACATGTACATCTGATCAGTTCCAGGTAAAAAATAGACAGAGAATGGGGAGGAGAGGAAAAGAAAGAATGAGGGAAACAATGGGGTGCCTTGCCTCTTCCTTCATATTCAAAATATCTAGATGCTGTGTTCAGAGACACCTGTATGTAAAGGGCAGGTGTTCCTTGTATCAGATTGAAGTCCTGCTCTTGGATCTACTTTTCATGTGTGACTGGAAGGGCGTCCCTACAGTAAGACTGTAGTAGTTGATGGCGAGCATTGAAGAGTCCTGATGGATTTTTACTGCTATACAACAAGCTGCTCCAAAAGACAGTGAACATTTACTTCCACAAATTTTAGATGTAACTTTACAATTGTCCTTCCTCTGGCTAACATTTTTCACCTTTGCTTTTTCTGAAGCTTATTGTAGGAATCTGATACAAGATGAGTGCAGAGGAGATTAGGAGTGAGCTTTTGAATTCGAGTAGTTCTGTTTTGTTGTGGTTGTTTTGATATTATGATATTAGAAAACAACTTAAATGCCATGCATGTTGCAATGTGTGTGGTTGGCAACTAGATAACTGCATATGCAGAGACACTCCATTTTCAGTGTCACTGTAGTGGTACTCAGCACATACGCAGAGAGTCAGCTGTGTCCCTCCTGAGTGCATGTCTGGCTTAATCTGCATAGCATCTTTAGTTACCTGCTGTGCTTGTGATTTCTGATTGAAGACATTCCAGAATGAATTATCTGTGTGCTACACCTAACCTTAACATTACGTACTTCTGAGTATAGTGATTTCCTTGCACTCTTTGCTCTGCTATAGTGTAGAGCTCTTAACTTAACATGCTTGTACCGGACGAGAAATATTTTTTGTTGTGGTATAACGGTATGTTGGTGGGCTCAGAACTGAGGTTATATTGTATAGTAATATACATGTTTGGTGACACTTCCTGTGCTGCTTCTCACAAATGCTATAGTGGAACTAAGCAGCTGAACTAGGTATTAGAAAAGGTAACAATAATGATTATTGCAAACAGTCTGAGCTGAAGAAATCACTTGTGGGATATCTACATATGAACAAAGTAGGAAGATTTCACTGGCTTTCTGCAGCATTCAAAGTTCCCTTTTTTTGCAGAGGGGAAAACATAGATTATGACGTACACTAAACACAGTGTAAAGAGCTGCAAGAGCCTAAAGTAGCATCTCTGACATCTGCCATTTTTTCAGTTGTTCGGCAGTTGTAGTGCTGAGTGCTACAAATCAGAACCTCTACTTACCAAAGTCTCCTTTTTTCTTTCTAATTACAAATTTGTACTTTTGGGTACTCCTGCAGCAGAATTTCCTATTACTTGTCACAGTTTGTTAATCTACTCAAAAAAGCTTGTTCTGTCCCTCTCAGTTCAATAGTTGTGGTCCATGAATACATAGGAGAAGCTTCTATGCTATCTGTCTGCACTGCTGGCCTTAGGTTATTTTTTCCAAAAATACTAAAATAAGCTTTTGGGAAGAGATGAGTTAGTGCTGTAACCATTAAGAATGCTAAGAGGCCACAGTTAAGTGACATTCGGAAAGTTTCAAGGCATGAACAATGAATTCTCTGCCTTAGACAACTTGTTTCTTTCTTGGCCTCATCTTCTGTTTATGTTTGGTGGCTTCTGTTTGCTTTTGGCAAAATCCAGCTTCACATTGTGCAGACTGCCTCTTAGGAATATTGCAGGTTGGGCACATCATCTTAATACCACTACAAACTTTGGTAAACATTTCATTAGGAACTGTGTTATGAACATTGACAAATATGCAATGGAAATATTATAGGCAAATTTAGTGGACCCTGAAACTTGTTGTTCTGAACACAGGTAATTTAGGTGCAGCAACATAGGTATCTTTAAGCTGAACTAAGCAATTGGACATGAACTGGGTGCCACTTCTAAATTCCTCCATTTTCAGATGGCAGTGATGGTTGGGTATTCCTATATTAAGAAACTTCAGCATATTGGCTTTCTTGTTGAAAAGAGAGGCTCTGGTTTACAGATTGCTCTGCTTTGCTTAAGGAAAAGAGTTCTCCTTTGTTGAAAGCCTGGCATTTATGGGACTTGTATACAGATCAGTGTCTGGATGCAAAAGTAGGAGTGGAAAGAACATTTTTTAAAAACGCAGAAATGCCTTCGTACTTTTTTGCTTGTTGGTGAACAGAGGAAAGCATGCAGAGATGTGAAAGAGAGAGCATTAGAATTCAAAAGAATGAGGAAACAATCGGCAGATGAGCTGCGATATTTTTTTCCTGATTATTATATAAACTCTGTATGTTTTGGCCTCCTTCCCTACAGAGGATCTCACTGGGTTGGTTAGGCTTTGGAAATACAGTGGACAAATTTCCATCTGAGCCGTTTAATCTGTAAGGATGAGCTTTTTAAAATGATGATTTCTTGTCTCAAGCAAGTTACATTACTGACTGATCTATCACGTTAGTTTTATTGTATAAAGATGACTTGTGGACTTGTTCTGTTTTATTTTTGAAGGTAGCATCTAAATTCTTCTTTTATCTGTTGTTTATCTTGACAATTGAGGGACTTATTTCTCTGTTCCTCTGTGCTCGTAACTGTAAGGCAGTAAACAAAATGTGAAATAATCCCCTGATTATGGTTGCCTTTAAGCATGGTGTCTCAAAGGCTTCGCAGGTCTGAAGTAAAGGGCTCTGTCAAGGCACATCAGGTGTAAGAGAATGGCTGCTCAAACAGGCAACCTTTGTGAATCCTGAGACAGGTACCCTGCTCTACTCTGTAGCATCTGCTATAGTGGGCTTCTACACCATAGCCAAGTCTTCAGGCAATGTGATTAAAATACATTCCAGTGCTTGTTTAAAAGGTTGCTGTCTGGAGTTAATGTTGACTGTTTTCTCCTGATTTGATACTATTCTCTGGCTACCATAGTTTTAAAGTTTATTTACCTTTTTTTCATTGGCTTTCTTGCAAAAAGTTCTCTAGATATTTCTGCTCTTTTGGTATAGCTTCAAACATCTTATCTCTGTCTGGGACTATGTTTCTTTGGTAGACCCTAGCAGTAACTTTGTCCCAGCATACACGATAACTTCGGGATTTCTTATCTGCCTAGTTTGCTTGGTGAGTTTTATATTGTAATAGAAATCTGCGGTAACCCAAACCTTTCTAGAAGAAAATTACCAGTAATTCTTTTCTTCAGGTGCCTATTACAGCACATCTGCATGCATGTAAGCTACTGAATTGGAGATCAGGTTATAATAGAAATATGTACCTTACACTTGCTGGCTATTAGGGACTGAACCTTAATTAAACCCCATGGGGTGACAGTCTTTAAAAACACTTTTAATTACATAAGGGACCATCAGGACTTCTAACAATGACAGATGCAAACTACCGTATTATTGGCCACCAGCCAAAGGCTCCATCATGGAACTGCTTTCCAGTTATACATACAAGAAAGATCCAAGAATATATGTAGCTTTGTTGACAGGGTAAGAAAGAAAGATTTGCAGGTAAGAGATACTGCAGAACTTGCTATTCTATCAGATGTGACAGTCGCTTAAAGGTGATGTCTGAGAAAAATAATTTTCAGACTGTTGCAATTTTGCCAATGAATACACAATGAAATGTATTAATTACTTCTGTGTAAACCTTTTTCTGAAATGTTTGTGATGCGCATTTGTGGGATTTATCTAAATATGGATATTATATTTGTATTACAAGTCCTTCTGTTTTTTCCCCCAGCTTTAAGACAGCAAAATGCCTCCTTTTTTTTTTTCCCCTTTGTTTAATTTTCTTTGGGTAATTATTGGCACAGAGACAAACATTTACATTTTACTCCTTTGTATTATAAAAGCTCTTACATAATACCATTCTAAAATTACTATGTGAAAACATCTCTCACTTTTATCAAAGCGAAATATGATGCATTAAAACCAGCAGGCATTTTAGTTCCCTCTTTTTCACTTCCTTAACATTCAGACTAGTACTCTGACAGCTGAGTATACTTTTTCATTTCTATGCCATGTCCTGTAATCGAAGATGGGGGGAGGAGAGCGGTTTGCTCTGATTCTCAATATCCTTCTAGATTGGGCGCTTTTCCTTATAGCATGTTATTAAAATACTGGTTGTAAATGCCATAGTCTAGCAACCTTGCAATCTCTGGAAGACAAAACATAATATTCCCGTTTGCAGGGCATGTTCCCATTGTCTGAGATTTCAATGCTGTGTTCAGGTATAGTGAGACTTCTTAGAGTTGAGGTCACTAGAAACAGAAAACTCCTTGCTGTTTAACTGGCTTTTGCCTCTGCCCTCTCCTTTCACTTTGTTTGCTGTTATATAGAGCAGGGCTTGCCAGCATCCTGTATGGATGGGGTGCTTTACTTGGCACCCCCCTCTTGCAAGTGGTTGAAGTCAGCAGAATGGCCTCATCTCACAGAGCAGACTAATACACGTAGTATATTCTTGGCGATTTGGAGTCAGATCCATCCACCCCCCACCCCCATTTTAGGAAGAATTCATCACGTCCTTTGTCCTTTCCTTGGCAAATTTGAGAATCAAGTTGTCATTAAAGGGAAAAGCTTAGCCAGTCATTGGTACCACCTTTTCCATGCAATTCTGTCACGCTTATCAGTCCTGACTCAGTCTTTTGACAAAAAATGTAGTGGGTGTTTTCCTCGGTAAGTGAGAGTTGGTGGGAAGCTACTTGTTTCAATTTAAGTTCATTTTCCTTAGGGCAGAAAGCTACTAAATTGTCATACCTACCTCCTTTTCTTTTTTTTCTACAAACCTCTTTTAATGTTAATATATTTTAGATGTGAGTAACTTCAAACAAGCTACTGATGACAGCGATCATTACTTCATCAGGTGTAGCTTCCACGCTGCTAACGTTGCATTTCCACGCAAGCCATTTCAATGCCAGTAATTTCATTACCAAAGCAAAGTAAAACGTGTAGCATCAGCTCCTGAAGTTCTGTGTAGTTAATGCTGTTCTAGTAGTGCTCAGTACTGGAAATATTTTGGAGTCATTAGATAGGAAAGATTTTTCTAGGCAAGGCATTTACTAAAAGTAAATACAGAAATCCCTAGCTCGCTTCATTTTTCTTTCTGTAAACATCAATCACCTAGCAAAAGCCTCTTAGCTTAATTGTACAAAGCTAGCTCAGGTTGCTGCAGTCTTGATTCATGAATCTGCATATTTTTTCAGTGTTGGGTAGCTGAAAGTTTTAAAAGTACCAAAAAAAAATAAAGCATTATTTTCTACAAAAGCAAAGAGAAGGTATGTCTCAGGCACTGGAAGCTTGACAACTAGTGATGCATTTTCACTAACATGGCAGAGAACTTCCACTGCTTTTCTTCCCAAAGTACGATTGTCCTGTTAGAAGTTGAAGGCACACCCTTTCCCTGTGCTTCCTGATAATTCACTTCACTGAGAAGAGAGCAGAAATGTAACACATAGAAGTAGGAAGACCAGCTTATTTCAGCCATTTGTGATACTGTCCCATCAGTTTGCATCCTGAGAATACAGGAGGACAGTACTTGCAAGTTACACTGCACCCGAACACACTTTCCCTATAAAGCATGGTCCAGCTGCTTGTTTGATTTACCTGTGTGTGTGCAAAAGGCTGAACAAGAGGAAAGGAAAAGGCAAGGATGGGCTTTCAGAAGGAGTCAACATTTCCATGCTCCTCTTGTTCACGCATTGTTACCAGTGGTTTGTTCGCAGATTAGAATGGGTTAAGCATTGAAGCCTAATAAGTCACAGGAATCTTTTTTTTTTTTTTTTTTTTTTGAGGGGGGGGAAGGGGGGGGGGGGTTTATACATTGGCTATTTGATGTTAAATAACTGATTTGATATATAATCAGGACAAAGCATGGATGTACAGACAGCTTTCACTAATAATCCTATTCTAAACTTTCCCTGTAATTGTGTATACATAATTTTTCATGCAAAATGCCTTGTTTTCCATGAAAGTAATAGTAGTTTAACTTTCAACTGTGCCTTAAGGGTTTTTTTTATCCAATTTGTATGTTTCAGTTAATTTGCAAATCCTGTTTGAGTTAGAAGTTACCTAATCTGTACTGTTCAGAATTTAATGAGACTTACTGTGGTAGAACAAATCTACTTTGAATCTTTAGTGCATATTGTAAAAATACGTGCCTCCCGAAAGTTGGGGCTTGCTCATTTCATTGTTTTTTTTACTATTTAGACACTAAAGAGTCTGTTGTTTGAACTGCTTTGCATTGTTGTAACCTGAACTGACTATAAAATCTGATTTCTGACTTTTCAACTCTAGGAATCTCTACCACCTGTCCAGTTTGACTGGAGTAGCAGTGGCCTTACTAACCCTTTAGATGGTACGTCTCTCCGTAGAGCCGCTAGCACCAGAGCTAGAGATAAGAAAGCTACAAAGTTCAGACAAACATCTATCTGCTGATTATTTTTTTTTTTAAGTACACACACACGCACATATGCAAAAATATATATAATATTTATTTCTTACTCCTAACTTTGGAAATTCAGGCTTTCTTTCTGATTTAACTGTGCCCCTATGTGAAGTATTGTGTAGTCTGAAAAATACGAAGTTAAGTATTATTTTAGATTGCTGCCATATGCTAATGACACAGTGGCAATATTAACACTTCATTATGTATAACTGCAGATTATAATGAAACTCTGAACAAATGAGCATTTTAGATTGACAAGTTTTACTTCTTAAAAGTATTTTTCATCAATTAACTATCTCTTTAGACATCCTTTGAATGACAAACCTGTGTATAGTAGCTACTTCAAAGCACAATATTTTAACCACAAACTGTTTGCAAAAGATACACTTCTTGAGCTGAAAGTTTTCAGATTTACAGATAATTTTATATTTCAAAAATGTGATCATCTGTTACCACTTTTGCTTACACTCAAGAGCTAATTATAGATAATATATTAAAGAGGTAGCTACGAACTTATTTGTATCTGTAAATGTATATAGTTATCACATAAAAGACCCTTTACCTATATCTATTTTAATAGCGAAGTGAGTTGTGCCGCTGCCTCCAGTCTCAGAAATGCAAGTGCATGCAAAGGAAATAAAACAAGTTTTGGAAACTTGTTTGATCGACAGACTAAAAACCTGTAAAGAAACTGATACCTTTATGAGGAGCCTGCTAACAGCAATTAATTCATGGCACAAGTTGTTCCAAGCAGACTAAAACAAACCGCATCGCTTACTGCACTGGTGTTGCCTCACAGTGTTGTCAGACCACGTGGGGTGTTGCGAGTTTGGATAGCAATATCATGGTGCTGAAGGAAAGCCTGGATGGACCCTTTTGCTGTTGTCTGGTGTCTTACTACTTCAGTCAATCATCATGCTTTCTTTTTAACAAACAACTTCTTTAAAATGTATCTTGGTTTGATTTCTGTTTTAGTACTAAAGGGGAACAGTATAATTCACCAGTGAGGAACTGGATGTAAGAGTGGCATTTGTTACCCTGTGTTCACACTGCTTTAAGATAAGAATAATCAATAGCTTAAAGCTGCTAAATAAAATTTTAAAGGGTGTTTTTTTTTTTTTGTTCTTTGCTGTTTGGGGATCTGCTAAGTCTTCCTGATGAAAGAATGGCTTTCAGTTTCAGCGAGGGGAGAAAAAGCCTGCTGTATTCTAGCTACCAATTGACCTATATATTGTTTCCCTTTAACTTATCACATCTTTCTCTCTGGGTCTTGCTGGTTCTCTTTCATTTTTAGATTGAAATAAATATATCTATTTTAAAGTTACTAGTGTTGATTTCCTTGCTGCATTGTACATGAGGAAATGTGCACTGAATTAAGTTGTTAACATTTTAGAAGGTACAAACTAATACTGTAAGCATTGTTTTCATGTCAATTTTTAAATTGCGTACTGAGTACTAATTATAACTTGCATGTTCAAGTGTGTGTCTTACCCCTTTTTACACATAAACCCCTCCCTTGGCTTACCTTCTATATGGCTGCCTACCAACACGGTCACTGAATTTCAAGCTAGTGGAGGTTCCACTCTTCTGAACCTTGATTTCTTTGGGCCCGTGGATGACAGTAGCTCTAGCAGCACCACCACAATCCCAGGTCAGCAGAGTGTTAAAACCACAACTGTAATATTATAACAACTTACTAAAAGCATGAGCACATCACTTGACTTTCCTATAAACAAGGAGAAATTTTACATTGCGTTTCTCTAAAATGTCTTTCTGCTGCATTTGTCCTTTAATCTGCGTTCTGTTTTCTGATGTTTTGTATTGAGTGCGAAGTATTTAAAAGGTACTGTCAGCTCTGTATTTGTCACATGCTGAAGGAGTGAATGGCTCTTATGCTTTTGCAAATAAGATGTTAAAACACTTGTTTCAAATGAGAAGTTTTGAAAGTTAACTATTCTAAGCACTTAAGAAAAATTGAAAAATACTGTAAATGTGATGATTCCCAAAAAGTGAGGCTTGCTCTCTCTGCTGCATGAGTGTCTCCAAGTTACAGAATTATGATGTTATTTGGAAGTTTTGTGTGAATGTAAAGTTATGGGGCTTAACATATCACAGCCCCTCTGGTATTTGCTGCTACCAGGAGGTTGTAAATTTTTTCTTTGTACGCACTACTAATATTAATCATAAAGTGAAAAAAGTGTTTTAACAGCATTCATAATAGAAAACAAGGATAGTTGCATGTTTGTGGGACATCAGAAGTTCACGAATGTTAAAACCGAAGCACTTTATCTGCAACTTGCTCCTTTAAAAGGAGACGAAAACACCACACTTTGTATTGAATAATATGTGAAAGTAATTGAATTCATATGTTGCATGGTTTGACATGCTCTGATTATTTTGCACGAGCTTGTGAAAACCTACACTTTGAATAAATTTCTGCAGGAATTTAAGGGGACGTTTTGGAGATTTATCCCAGTGCATAGGTGAAGTGGATAAGGCCAAACCCTCTGTCAATACAACGCCTGAAGCCATGATAATCACTTGCTTCATAGGAAGGGGTTTTTTCCTCGTAGTGATTTTAATGTAAAAAATAAATTTTTCAGAGGTTTGGGGTTTTCCCGCATGTCAAATAACCGTGTATCATCATTATTTTTTTTTAGTTTGTTTTTAAAAACCTGCTTTTTTAGTTTTGAAATCTGATCATTGAAGGCAGTTTTATGACATCGGTCATTATCAGATCAAAGATGTCGTGGAGGTGATAGGTAGCAGGTTGAAGATGCTTGAGTCTTAGAGTTTCTTTTGTAAGTGTGTGCAAGCCTATCGACATAAGTCGTCAGTGCCCAGTACATGTACTGCTCGTGCGGTCAGGTACGCTCTTGTGCCCTGACGGTGTGCACACTTGAAGTGATTACTGGAGGATTACTCTGTTAGCCTTTTATTGCCTTTTTTTTTTTTTTTATGTTGTTGTTCTTTCATCAAGTTACAGGTATTATCGCCTTCCCTCGTATGCCCTATAGCCCTATAGTGCCTATTATTGTTTTTTTGGTTTTGGCTTTTCTTTCCTCCTGACTTGTTTCTGGGAAAGTCATTTGTTTCTTGGCTTGCAGCTGGTGTGTTTGTGTGTGTGTTCAGGAGCTTTGTGTGGGGTTTGGTTGGCTAACTTTCCTTCAATATCTCATTAAGGTTTTGCAGTGCTGTCATTAAATAGTTGCTAATCATTTGAATAAAATGGAGAATATGCAACTCTTAAAAGATAACTAAAATTATTGAAACACAAGTTCTTAGATCTTGTGGCTTGAAGAAGAAACTTTTCTCAGAAGTTTGTTCTTTCTCTGAAGACCTTAATTTTACTTACTATAGATCCACACTGTATTCTTCTCAGTCTGATTTAATCAGTAGCCAAAATCACTGGTTATTAAAATTTGCGTTCTATGTCAGGAACAGGGAGCTACATTTTTCTAGTGTTTTCCTAGAGATGTAGTATTGTTTTATTTTTCATGTTGATAGTTAAAGATAAATGTAGCTGAGTAAGAGGTGCCTAAAGAACATTAAAGTGAGCAGTGACATTGCACTACAATGGAAATGAATTCAGGACCTTAAATGTGTGAATATCTAAATGATGTAACTTATAAGGTTGCATTTAACATTTGTTGCAGAGTTGCATGTCAAAGGACTCCTTGTTTCAATTAGTTTTACAATTTGTACCTTAATGGGATTTCACAGGCTTCTGCAAGTCAAAAATGTATTTCTTCAAGTCTTCCTCTCCCTGTTTGAAAGTGCATATTTTATGGAATAGCTGGGCTTTTTCCTGTTTCCAAGTTCTGTAAACATCTGACAATATTGAAAGTCTTGGTATACTGGTCTCAGGAAGGTATATATTTTGATGTTTTGCTGAAACTGGATGAAATTAACTTTGAAAATCCAGACTTTAAAAAAGTAGCTTGAAAGGAGAACTGATGAATTTCTAATCAACTCATATTAAATGGAGCAAATCTCCACCCTCCTACACCCTCCCCCAGCTCCTGCAGCTTAACCCAATGATTTTCTTTATTTTGCTTTTTGGTCAGCTTAGCTTCCCAACAATGAAAAAGTACTTAACTTGTGCACAAATCATGTATGGTCGAGACACTGCTTGGGGAGAGCTCATGCAAAGCAGGTATGAGGATTATTAACCTCATCTGTTTCTGCCCTTAGTACTGCAGTTACTGGGTGGAAAAGGCAGGACAATAAGCACAGGCGTTTTTTTTTAATTTTGTAATCTTTCAGTGTTTCAGGAGTACTTCTAAAAGTGTCTTGATCCAGGCAAGTAAACTGGGTAAAATCATCAGCACATCAGTGTATAAATGCTGATTTTATATTAGGTAGCTGCATGGGACCATTGTGTCCAAGTATTTGCAACGTTTGTTCTGCAGCAGTATGAAATGCTTCTGTGTTGTCCAAACCAGCTGGCACTCATGTTAGACTTGTTTAGAACACAGCTGTCTGTAAAACATGATGCCTCTGTACAAAAATTCTATGCTGTATTAAAAAAATATTTATAATTGTGGATGGCGCATATGCACACTTCATTTAAACCCACGAAGCATAAAATAGCTGAAACTGTAACTAGAAGAATATCACCAATTTAAAATGCTTCTGAGAAGCAAAATATGTTGTAACAGTCTTTCCTCTTGATCTATTTTGATAATTCTAATTCCTAGAGGATTTTTTAAAGAAAACATACTTAATATCTGGAAATTCTACAGCTACTTCCTACTGAGATGTGATGCTTTATATTAAATAGGTAGAATTTCATCCATACCTATGTATTTTTTTGAATGCAGGTTTCCATTGTTTGCATTGTTTTCGGAATGACTTCTGCTTATAAAATTTGAAATTCAGTCGCAGCGTATGTGATGTCAGAATTCAGCGTCTTGACTTAAGATACCTGAAACTACAAAATCAAAGCCAAAACATCCAGTTACTTGATGCTTATAAATACTTGAAAGATTAAAAGGGAGCATAGACTAAACGTTTTGGTAGCGTTATACATATTAGTATGTAATTTTTTTCAATGCCATTCCACTTGTATGTATCATAAAAGCTGCTTTTCCTCACTTCAAAAATTTTTAACACAACCTCTTGTGAAAAGCAAGATACTAAATGCACTCTAATGCATGCCAATGTTGTGTGTAGCCTCTTGTTAAAGAGCTGGTCCCTGTTTACATGCAGTGTTCTTTTAGTACAAACAATTGAGTTGAAGTAATTGAAACAATCAATTTTAACACAGCTGACACTTTTACAGGTGTTTCACTCTAAAAGGTAAATCAAATCGATTTTGTTCACTCTTAGACTGAGACCTTGTATGCCAGACTTGATCCAGTGTGGGTGTGTTTTGTAGTACAACTATAAAAGCTACTGAAAAAAGGTGGGGAGAGGAATGTGCTTTAGAAATGCAGACATGTTCTGTCATGTATCTTGAAATTATAAATGATTCAGATGTTTACAGAAAGCAGTCTCTAGCAAGTTGGTCTGTGGCTAATTATGGCTATACTTACGTCCAACCATCACTGATTATTGTTTTATACTATAAGGTGTGGATCCTGAGTTGTATGAATTGACAACCTCAAAACTGGAAACTTCCAATGCAAGCAACAGAGTGACGGATGCGTTTGCAAGACTCATGTCGACGGTGGAGAAGGCAAGCACGTCCACAAGGTAAATGCTGTTTGTTGTGCTTTCTTCTTTTTCTAAGGGTGGCGCGAAATCTGAGCAGTGAATGTGTGTGCTGGTTTAGGTCAGAAGTTCTTGAATGGTCAAAAGATTTAAATTTAATAGGTTTAAGTATGAAATTCACAGTACTGTAGTTCACATTTGAAATTATCATAGAATTATCTCTAGAATAAGATGGGAAACAGTTTATGAGCTGAAAAGAAAAAAAGATAACCAGGACATAAGTTGAAAAGCTAGAGCCAAAGATTGAACTGTAGGAAGAGCCTTTCTGAAGAACAGAACTGATGGCTAAGAATGGTAGGGTAAGCTGAACCACGCAGCTTAGTGACCTGTGACTTCGTCAGAAGACTCTGCTGTGTCCTCTGTGCAATTTATAGATACAGAATGTTCCACAAGTAAAATGATAAAACTGACTAATGATTATGACAATACTTGTTCCTTCCCGTATATTTCTAGCACCTGTCAAAACTTCAGTGACCAAACATCATTTTGGTGTTGCGAGTTAAGTAATGAGCATGTAGTTGGTTAGGAAGTCCTTTCTGCTTCGTGGATCTCATGTGAAGTTCTGTGGTACTTTTTTAATAGGTAGTCTGTGTAAAAGGCTTTAGATGTCAGATGTCTTCCTTGAAGTCTGGCCTCTTGAATGGTACAGAACAGTCTCTGCACTTATAAGCTTGTATTCTTTGGGTTAATTTTTTGAGTTGTGTATCTTAGCAGTAGGATTCTGGACTGTATTAACATGTAATTGATGTCTGTGCCCATTAAAGAATTGCTGAGTGATTCTTACCAAATAAAATGTTTTTATTGTTGAGGAAGTGCATGCCTCAACATGCAACGAGTCCTAGTTGCTTTGCTACTAAGAGATAGTAATGTAGGCCTCACTCATAAGTGAGCTTTAGGGTTTATTCAGCACTCTGAAATTGAATAAATGCATTTCCATGCAGCGTAGCACTTAGAGAGGAGGCACGGTTGAGGAGAGTTGTGGCAAATGGAGTGATTTGTAATGGTGGGACATAGCTGGCTTTCTTAAAGTGACGAAAAGTAGTTTTCAAGAGCTCTTCTAAAACATATTCTTTCATTGAGAAAACTGTCTTGCTGGTTTTCCTGTAGTGAAAATGTTCAAAATGAACACTGAATAAAAAAGATGAACAAGCCATGAAATTTCAAAGGAGAACCAGTAGAGGGAACACCACACTTTAATGCTGATTTTTGTGTCTCAGCTTTTGGATTGCCTCGTTTTTCTGTCCATGGAATGCATATACTCTTTCTGAAGATACACTAGTAGGAAGGTTTGACTTTCGCTAATTAGAAAACATAGTTACAGTTGAAATATTTTTGTACTATATTCTAAGTCTAATTTAAAAGTATCCACAAATTCACAGCAGGACAGACAAACTCCAAATGTATCTTGATTATTTATTTCATCTCCATCATAGCTTTGTACGGGCTTGCTTGCTTTAAGATGTCTTAGCTTCCTTTTTCTAAATGAATGTTGATCTTCATTTTTCTGTATTGTTGTTTTTTGAAATGAGGGGGTTGCGTTTTTTCCAATGCTTCCATGGTGCACTTGAAGGCTTTACTTGCAATGTTAAAGCTCTTTATTCAGACATCAGAGTTCTTCCCTCATTCTGGAGAGCATTGCTTACTGATAGGAAGGAAGAGGTTCTAGATCTGTGCTGTAGCAATGGGTCAGACTGTAGGAAGAGGCTGGGGACCTCAGACTTGGCGATTAAGTTCAGACACAAGGATTAGTGGTTTTAAAGCAGCTGTTTTCAGTGTTCAGTACATTTTGTACGTTTTTGTCAGCTCTGAATTTTGAAAATTTGAAGTGTTTTTTATTTTTTTATTTCATGCTGTCTAAAAGAAAAAGCAGTCTGGTTTTCTGTTTTTCAAGCTAGAAACCTTCAGAGGTATGAGAAGGTCTTAGCAGTATGCTAAATATGTTGCAGTATGTTAGCTTTTTCTAGTAAAATTGTTTTTTCTCTTGACTTTTTTATTCTTCTGTAATGAACTGGAGACTCTCAAATCAGAGTGACTGGGTGCAGCCAGCTCAACAAGGGTGACGTTCATGCACCAACCTGGAAATACAGACTATTAGCCATTCATGATAACTGATTAGGGAAGATGTGGCCAGTGTCAACTTGAGTTGTGCTAAGGCTATCTCATGTCTGCCTGCAACTTGTCTGAACTCAGGATCTTTGAGGATAAAGCTTAGAGTGGAAAAATACTGTTCAGCTGTAGGAATCCATGTGAAGTCATCTTTGTCTGAAATAGCCCCATCTTTTGCTTGGAAACCCACCTCTTGAAGCTGGAAAGTCAGTTTCTGAGAAGGAGTGTTGGGAGAGGAGAGGAAACTTCCTCCTCAGCGTGAGCCTGAAACCTTGACGGCAGCAGTAAGTGTTGAAGGTCAGGGATCCAGTACAGCATTCCACTGAGAGAGACTGTGCAGCCTCGCATGGTTCCATATAATTGGCAGAGATCAAAAGTTTATCTGCTGTCTTTTTGAAGGAAATCAGAGCACTGATACCTTCCCAAGAAGTGGCCAAAACTGTCATTTAAACTGGAAATACTCCTTGTGGGTGGTGTTGGATGGAACAGGCTGACTCTTAATTACAGAGTGATTTTTTTAAAGTGCATTTCTCTAATCAACTTATTGTTGCTCTTAGAGCCTGGCCTTGCTGGTGCTATCCACAAAAGCCGTTGCAAACATGAGAGATGACTGAAGTCCTGAAAGACTGAACACTGCAGGAAGGGGTTGGAATGCAAAACAGAACAGAGAGGTGTGAGTGACGCATCAACAAAGCATTCCCTATTTCGTACTGGATTTTCTTCCAACAGCTTTCCTGCCTGTCAGTCTGGCTAATTTCTTGCAGCTTAGTGTTAACATGCCTTTGGAAAGGATACTTTGTGCCAACAGGTAGAGGGACTTGCAATTAAATGGTTGGGTAAGGGCATCCACTCTGTCTTGGGAGGAACTGTAGCCTAGTGCAAGAGAAGAGATGGATGGTGGCAAAGTGTTCTGTAGTTTTAATATCTGAATAGACAGGGACCCTGTTTTGAGCCAGGATTGGGTATTTTAATGGTTTAGTAACCAAAAGTTCTGATTGCAAAGCAGACAGAGGTAGTACAGCTGCCAGTGACAGTCCACTTGGGTGTCCATTCTGTAAGCCACAGTAGCTAGAAATTAGAGTGCATGAGTAGAAGCTCTGTCACAGCCCCTGTGCACAGACCAAGGTTTAGCAAAAGAATCTCTAGACAGTGGGAGCATCTTCAGCAAACGTGGTGACTGAAATTAATGCAGCTGATACAGTTTTTTCTCTTGCCTCTATCAAAAGGCATCACAGTTATTAGGCCATTTGGTAACTTTTAAGGGTTAGAACAGCCAGCAGTCTTTTAAGTTTAGAGAGTTAGTGAACAATTCTTTAGGATTTGCCCTGGTGGTATTTGCTGCTGAAGGTGCTGTTACCCAGAAAGGGTACTTGCAGTGTCCAGTTTTATTGTCTTCTGGAGCAACATGCCCCTCTCCATTGAGAAACAGAGACTTTAGGCTGTCTCATCCCTCTGCACTGAGATAATTTACAAAGCAGGTTTTGAACCTCATAACAGTTGTAGATACAATCACTTGGTGACTTGGTCCTACTTAAATAACGTTTGCTGTGTCAGTGTGTTAGCTTGTCTTTCTTGATAGATACTTTTTACAGAGCACATTAAGTAGATAAATTATTGCAAGGGGCCTCCAGCCAGGAGGGGAGCATTCAGTAATCGGGTGAGATTCACATCTGACTCTGCTCACTGGTGTGCCTGTTCTGCAGTGGTGTTGCAGAGACCAGCTAGTACAGCAAGAGCAGTAGCATTGTCCTGTGATAAAGGTCCTGCATATGACCACCAAATAAGATGCAGCACTGCCTCTGGGACCCAGCAGTGCCATTTCTTAGCATGCCACAGTTGAGCAGAGGAGGAAGAGGCATATAAATAGCAAGGAGCGTATGAGCTCCTTCTCCGTGCCTGATTAACAATTACAGGAACTCCTTTTGATGCAGATCTCTGAGTCAGCCCTCTTCCTTTTGGCTTCCTCTGTCACACACTCCTTTGTTAGCTCTAAGTCCTTGATCACCAGGAGTTTGTACCTTTAAGAGGCTTGTGGTAAGTGATTACTAATAGTGGCACCAGATACTGATAACGGTGGTGGGTGACAACCACATTTCAACAGCTCAGAGACAGTCCTTCGAGTGCAAACAGAGCTGACTGTGAAGTTGTTAGGGAAGGAGGTACATACTGGCTCTGTCCTTCTTCCTTCAGTAAATCCAGCACACAGCTTTGTTTATCCTCCAGAATTTGGTAATCTGCCTAGTCAGTGGCTCATGAAATTCCACTGCAGCAGAGAAAAGAAAATATTGCTATTCTAGTGAAGGAAAGTCAGATTTAGTATCTAGGCTGCCTCATCTAGAGATCTTTCATCAAGTGGAGATTTCAAGTAGCAAACAAAAGTGATAGTTCAGTGTCAACACAATGATCAGTGATGTCAAGGATGAGTTTGACTCCAGCTCTTTTTTTTTTTTTTTCCCCTTCTCCTAGCTAAGAAATTCTGAGGCTGCTGCTGAAGCAAACACGTAGCCCCTTGCTTTCCCCTGATCTCTGATCAGTTCAGGAAACAATCCTGATGGGTGCTGACAAATGAAAATATAAGTACATGCTGCTTTGTGATCAGATTGGTGATTGTGCTCTCATGGGCTCAGTTTAAAGTTTATAGCTAAGACAAAATATAGAAAGGAAATTTCTGAAGTGTTCTAGGGAGAGGCAGTTTGTTCGGTTCAAGCCTTTTGTGTCAGTTTTTTGCCCCAAGGTTGGGGGAGCTTATTTAGCTAGAATTTCTAATGTCATTACAGGGTGTAGCAGGTGCTTTTTTTGGAACTGGAATAATGTTTGATGGAAAACTAAGTATTTCTTGTTAATAGGCAGTGTTCTTCAAAGATAAGCCAGATGTCTGTAAAGTGTGGATGTTTAGGCAGCGAAGGGGAGGGGGTCTTCTGTAGCAGTCTGAGCCAAGCTTCATTTTACTTAGGAAATGTGAGGTTTTTTGCATAATAGTGAGAACCAAGCAACATGGGATTCAGACCTGTTTATTCATTTGCATTCAGTAATTCTTGTGAATAATGCAAAAGGCAGAGTAAACACCAGTGATTCCCAAACTCCTGTATGTGTCATGGCTACACATACTACTGCACTTCAAAGCAAGTAGCTACAAGTTTTGAGCCACCTTTTGCTGCTGATGAGCCCTGGGGGAACAAAGGGTTTGTGGATCACAATCTAGAGCGGTATGATGTAGAATCTGAGTACGGTCGTGTTGGAAACCCAGCATAAGTATCTTCTTTTTATTTTAAAAGAATTAAGAAGTAAGTTAGAGACTTCTTAATGTCCTTTTTAAAATTTTTCCATTTTATTTTGAAAGATTATAGTGGATTTAGGTAGTTTAGAACTAATACTCCTTTTGTCTTATCCCTAGTATATGGGCGTGGTTGTTTCTTCAAGTGAGTAGTCCCAGAATGGCACACTGGAACCTGCATCCATAAGCATCTGAATAGGAAATCTTTTTTTTCCTTATTGTAAGAATATTCAGGAACATTTTGCTGACTTTCTGTGTTTAACATTTTGTTAGTAGGCAGGCAAGTATTATACCATTAGACTACCTTCAAGTTGCTTACAGAAGTGTCTGTCAGTGGGAGACAAACTGCCAGAACATTGCTTCAATCAGTGGTTCTTTCAGTGATCCAAGGGATATCGGGTACTGGATTAATGCACTTTGTTTTTTTTCTTCTCAACAGGAAGCCTAAAAAGGAAGAACATCTTAGTGAAGAGGCTGCCAAGGTGATTTCTAGCCTTCCTGACTTAACTTTCATGCATGCCAAGGTGTTGATGTTCCCAGCCACATTAACACCTTCAACAAGCTGCCAAGAAAAGGTAGACTAAAGTGATGTGAATTGGACGTTTTCTATTGATTTTTTTTTTCTTCCCTCTGTGGGTCATAAAAAGCAATCTTGCTTTAATTAAAAAAAAATCAAGTTCAGATGATTTGTTGGTAAGCAGCACTAGAAAGGTATACATAGTAATGTATATTTATTTACATACTGGAGTCCTAAATTTATATTAGAGAAAAATGTAAATAATTGGGGGTGAATCTTTTTGAAGATCTATTCTTTTTTGTTGTGCTGGGGTGTATACATTTATGTCTTTGTGAAATACACTGGTGGTGTCCTTCTTACAAAACTTTAAAAAGTTTTTAAAAAAAAAAAATCCTAGAAACACAGAGTGAAAACTGCAATCTTCACAATCTGTGAAGTCCCCCTTAAAGGTTTTCAGATTGCATTGAGCATCTTTTTCTTTCCTGCATATATTAAAATACTTCTTGCTGGAAAAAACCCAAAAGATTACCTTGTCCCTTTGCAGGTTTTCAGTTATTGTTGTTTCTTTAAATCCCAGTAATTCCTTTTGCGTTTTAACAAGCTTAAGATGCGTTTTTCCTTTTCTTCTCCCCCGTCCCCTCCCCCTGTTTGATTGTTTGGCTGATCTTAAACTTCAATAGTATGGCTCTGTCACTATATTGCCTTTTGAAAGGTATGCTGTCAGTAACTTCATGTTCCAGTTATGGATCGCTGTCTAAACACTTGATTTTTTGGGGTCATTAGAAGGTTGTCTGCTTTTAATCAGTTTGATTTGGAAAAGAAGGACCAAAACTATATGAATGTCTTACAATGAAATTTACCTGTTAAAAAATTTTATGTTCTGTTGTACCACTATTCCTGTTTGATTTTGCACAGTGTAAAATGACATAATCATAGATTGCTATGGTTTTAGGCTGTATATACAGTAAAAACTATGGGTTGTAAATGTCTGGGGAAATTCCTATGGAAAAAAGAGAGCTATGTAGAAGAACCTCTAAAAAGGTCAATGTGCATGCCCAAGGTCTTTTGAGATTTAAGTGTGTAAATTTCCTTTTAGCTTACACAAAATAAAATAATTTAAAAGATATTTATGTATATAGTCTGCTATCTTTTTATACAAAATTTATACTTTTTCACATTTCTGTTGATGGTAAAATCGATGCACTGCATTAAGAGTTCAACCTTCTAATTTGTGTTGCGCAGTCCCACAAAACACACCTGTCAGGGCCCTGCAGAAGGAGAAGCAGACTGCTCTTTAATTGTCCTGTCTCTTTGAACCTGTTGTGATGTAGTCTTTTATTTCTGTCTCTGACTTGCCGTCTGGCTTGTAGGGTGATGTGGCTCAAGTCATGTCGGTATTTTGGGTTACAGACTTCTTCAGAGTAATTGGCAATACTCAGCTGTAAGAAACACAAATTATGGTGAGGTGAGAAAGGACAACTGGTTTTGCCTATTTCTTGGCTAGAAATAAAAAATGTAAACGTAGCATTTGCTTAAGTTTCCTAACGTGTTAGCTTCCACTGTAGCTCTTTGAGGATCCTCTTCAGAGGATATCGGTGGCCTGTCTGCAGCTAAGGCATGCTCTGGGTGCTGATTATTACTTGAGGGTGCTTTGCTTGGGCATAGACTCGCCATGTCTAACCTTTACTGTGTGCACAGCTCACTTTACTGTGCATACAGCACACTGAAAGTGTTTGATAGTCACCACCAGTTCATCAGTTAACATCTAATTCTGAGAAATCTCCAGTGCGTTTTCTCACCTCTTTGAATTCTTTATCAGCTGATAGCATTTGGGTCAGAAAAGTTAGAGTTTGATGTCGTTAGCTGGTAAGCTGAAATGTTGTCCTTGCAAAAGGAACCTTTTTCCTTCTAGCGAGTCATCCTGAGATGTCTGTGAGATGAGTGCTGGAGTTCCACCTTTGTGAACACAGGAGTTTCAGTGAGTGGTGGCCACTCAGAATTGAGAGCAGCTCCTGCGGTTGTGTTAAAGTTAATTTGTAACGGCTAAATTGGCTCTTTTGCCCTCCAATTAGCGCTGCAGCGTACAATGCTGTGGTATCAAACTGCACCCTGTTGTAGCTGAAAAGGTTTATGCAAAAGCCATCTGCTTTACTGTGTATCCCCAAAACCACTTATATTTGTGCCTTCTGCAGATTTTCATGACAGCACAGCCTTCATGCCTGTTCCATGTCAAAATTAGCTTTGCTAATCTCACAGGTTTAGCATAGTATTCTTCAGTGCATGCTTATTTTATCATTCCATTCTGATGTTGGGCTGCTGTAGGTTAAAATCAGTCCTTTTGTTTTCACAGCGGTGCTGTGTCTCTTGGAGCCAGAGTAGCGGTATAGCTGCAGCAGAAAGCTATAGCTATTGTTTCAAGGAGAATATGTTTAGGAGCTGACTCATGATCCTTGTCTGGCAGCAAGTGGACTGAAGTATTAAGGAGAGGTGGGGGTGGAAGTGCCAGCTGCAAGTTGATCTTTAGTCTCCTCACAATTGCCTCTAGAGGCAGCTGCCCATTTGTCTTCCAGTCTCCAAGTGCCGTACTGGTGGCCCGCCGTGGATGGGGGAGGGGGAAGAAATGGCAGGGGGAGAAGGAGATTTCTGTTGTGAGTGATGTACCAATCTGAAACTTCGTGAAACCTGGTACCACCTAGAGTGTGTTTATGGGGTTTTTATGTTCTTTCCGCCCCCCTGAAAAAAAGCATCCCGCAAACCTCAGTGCTGAAAGACATAAATCTTCCATCTAAATGCAGCCGTTTGAGGTGGATGCTACTTGCCTTAAAACGTAGCATTGCTTTTTGTCTCTTAGCTTGCGCCCCCTTCTTTCTTGTCGATTGTGGGGTGGACAAACAGGCTCCTCCACCTCTCTCCTCGTGTGGTGTACAGGCAGCTTTGTTCTTATGCAGAAAGTTTTGTCTGGCAGATCCGGCTGCATCGGGCTTGTCATTTTGTGCTGTTCCCATTGACATGGCATGCCTTATCTAGCTTGATCTTGCCAGCAAGTTTATGGGCAGGATGGTAATTGACACTTTCTGCACATACGTGTTGCTGTGCGTTGTCATCAGACGTGTCGACGTGTATCACATTCACTCGAGAACTAGTGTCCTTTAATAGCGAGGCGCTTATGTGCTCATCCAACAGAAGCAGCAGAGGACACTCGGTTCGGATTCAATTGCCTGAGTTGGAACATGGCCACAAAGCAAAGTCCAAAACTCCCACTGTGAAGCGAGCTGCAGGCCCCTGAATGACTGCTAAGAAGAGCTGGACTCTGCTTGCATTATCCAAAAGGCTGCACTCCAGTGCTCAGTGGTTCAGCACTGACTTATCGGGAGCGTTGCCACCTGCTGCAGGTGTTAGCAGTGTTGGCTTCCCACGGCACTTGAGACGTTAAGACCTTCTCAGAATATCGTTAGCTTGACGGATTCATTTTGAGATGCCAAAAATAAAGCTTATGGATAGCGTATGTAGATGCCCTCAAATGCAACGTGAGGCTAGCTGTGTACTGAAGTTTACCCTTCGTCACATTGGACTGTTGTACAGAATTTTACCTGATAATGAAATTGGCATGTAGAAGGCTTTAATAGACTCCAGGACCACTGCACTTGGGCTGAACAGTAAAAGCAGTCTTTGTAGGATGCAAGGGAGTGTTAGCTCAATGCATGTAAGATGGATCGATCGGCCTTGGCCTGACCGCTTACATCTAGGTGCACCTTTTGTGTCAGTTCTGCACCTCTGCATAATTATCTTTTAAATTTCAGAGCAGTTGAAAATGCAGGATAGTTGCAAAATACACTTGACTAATTTATAAATGCATATGGCATCTAATAATTGCATAGCACCTGCTAGGAGTGTGTTCTACAAAAGAAGAGAAGTTTTTCATAATCTGGCCTCTATGCTAAAGAGCACAGCCACTAAAGGCAGCAAGCAGCCTGGTCTCCTCCTCTAGGTGAACCTGGAGCATGAAAGGAGTTGGGGAGAAACAACACATTCAAATTCAGATGGCTAAAAACAAGGTGAAGAGGAGCTGGAAGAAAATATAAAGCAAGAGCTCAGGAGGAGCTCTGAGTAGGGGAAACAGGAAGGTGAAGCAGGACTCAGAGTGTAGGCAGCTGGGATAGCTATAGGAAGAGCAGGTGGTGGAGAAAGTGGGATACGAGCATGAGGAGCAGGGGCATTTGGAGAGAAGAGAAAGCCTGGGATGGATTACAGGCGCACACGCTGTGCCCACTGGCTGCTTTTCTGCAAAATCTGGAACTGAGCCTCAGAGCCCCAAGTCCCTGTGTTACTATACTGTAGAGAAAATGTGTCAAACCCATTGGGCGAGTGTAAGTTGCATGCGTCGCAACAGCCTGCTATTGCTATTGATTGTTTTTGGTAGAGAGCTGGACTGCAGGCATAAGGGTTTAAATGCGGCTGCTAGTGTGGGTTTTAGCACTGATACAAGTGCAGATGTTAGAAGACCTTTTCTAAAAATTATTTTTAAATAAGGAGATACATTATAAATCCAGACTGTAGGTATAAAATCAAATCCTCAAAAGCTAGCTCCACTGCTGTGATTTGGAACTGCAGCTTCAGTCCTGTCATGCATCTGCAATGTGACAGTCGTTACTTACATATCATCCTGTCTTCACCCGCTCCTTGCCTCATGCCCTGTGTAGATTTATTCTTCGAATCAGGGTAGCGCAGTGTAACACTTCTCTGCAGGGCCCCTGCTTCATGTAGCTGAGGAGAAAGGATGGCCTTATGTGGAAAGTCGGGAGCAGACACAGTGGAGTAGGATGCTTTCCTGGCTTGAAGCGGCTGGCCATGCTGGCTTTTTTGCAGGAGGTCACTTGTGCATTTCTGTCTTTTGGTGCCCAGCCTGACTGGGACGTGCAGAAATGCTAATTGCACCGGGATGTTGCTTAAGCATTTAGGAGCTTTGCTTGCTTGAAATACACTCAGGGCTCTGCGACACCAGGGGTCAGGTGCATGTGCTGAGCACCCAGAATTGGTGGAGCTCTTGTTTTCATCATGTCAGCCTGTTCTTAAACATGTAATATACGTTGTTATCCATGCGTTACAGCAAGGCTGTGGAGATCAGCTCTGTTTGAAATGCCATGCTCCTATTTGTAGTTTGTCAGCGATATCTGAGAAGGACTCAGCCATTATAGGTATCACACACATCTCAAAAGCATAGTGGAATGCTCACTGTCTTACATCTGGATTCACTACATGGTCAATGAAGAAAAGTGTGTTCCTAGTTTAGGGGCTCTGAATCTTCTTCTGCAAATTTTTGTCAGGACTGTACTCACCTAATGTTAGAGCACGTATCTGCAGAGGTGCCTAATGCTATGCTCCATAGAGGATTGTGTGCCTTAGATAAGGTGTGGGACTGCTTGTGGAATGTGGAAGGGCAAAAAAATAGATTGAACTAAAAGAGACTATGGTCCTGTGGAAAACAAAATAATGAGACTGTGAAACTAAAGACTAATTTGAAGGAGTCAGATTAAGGTGGTATAGATATTTTTGAATATTTGCCTAAGCAGACTTAATGATCTTTCTGGCATGGTTTTCCACGTGCTTAATGATCTTTTTGGCATAGTTTTGTATGTTGAGAGTATGTACCCATGTGCGCAATAAACTGAACAGAGGCATCAAAATGAAGCTGACCCTCTCAGGCTCTATGCCCTAAGGTTCTCTGCTGGGCTTCCACCTGTGTCCTCACCATTTGTGTGACCAAAATGGCGTTTGCTGCTGGCCTGCTACACCTCTGCTAATGCTGGCAGTTCAGCTGGTGTGGCTGCTCCTTGCTCATTAGGGCTGGTCTGTTGGGGGTTTTATTAGTATACATGCATGCACAGTCGTGTGCTGCAAGCATTTGCATGGTTGGTGCCAGGTCTAGCAAGCAAATCCCCTTGGAATAGAAGTAGGTTTCCCACTGGGATTGTTGTCATTGTGTGAGCCTTGCCTCCCATATTTAAAGCAATGAAGTTATTAAATGGGGATAGAGGGGCAGCAGAAGGGCAGTTTCAGCTCAGCTCAGCAGCCTTGTCGGTGTCTTTGTCTCTGCTTTTCCAATGAAATGTGTCTCGATTGTTTTTA